CCTCCCCGGCGTCCAAATCCGAGTCCGCTTGCGGGAAGCCGGAATCCTGCGTGGAGTCCGGGCTCTGCTCGGGAAGGCCAGTGTTAATGTAGATGATGTCCCCGCACGCCTTGGAGCTGGGCAGGTTTTCCAGCAGCTTCTCCAGCTGGACTTTGAGCTGGGAGAAGGTGGGGCGAGTGGCAGGGTCGGCTCTCCAGCACTCAGACATTATTTCATACCTGGAAAGTGGGAGAGGAGTGTGGTTAACAGAGGATCCCAGAATGGTTTGGTTTGGAAGGGACCTTAAAGCTCATCCAGTCCCTGCAGGGGCACCTTCCACCATCCCAGGTAGCTCCAAGCTGTCCTTGAACACTTCCAGGGATGGAGCAGCCACAGCTTCTCTGGGCATCCTGCACTCCTCTGGAGTATGGGGGAGGTATGAGGGTTAATTCCCGGTTTCCCTCCAAGCTGGGCAAACCTTGAAACTCCCATTAAATCAAAGTGAAAGCAACTCCCTCTGCTCAGGCTGCTTCCCAAGGGCATGGATTTATCAGCCCAAGCTGTTGTTAGAAATGTGAGAAGTCTCTTCCAGTGCAGCCCTGGGATCTGTTCCCTGGGAACATCCCAGCTCGGTGTGTGGGATGCCCAGTCCTTCCCTTGGCAGGTGCCTGCTCCCAGGCTGGATGTCAGGGAGCCCTGGAAGCTCCCAGCATGTCCCTGCCAGCCTCTCTGCCCTCCAGCAGGGTAGATTCTTAGAGGTTCCTGCACTGCTTCCTTCAGAAACAGGCCGTGGAGAGGAGCCTTTTAGGAATGCACAACTCTGTCTATCCAGTTGGGATTCAAAGCTCTCAGCCATGGGGAGTTAAACATTTTCAGCTCTAGCAGCACTGGAGAAAAACTGAGCAAAGAAGCTTGGGAGAAAGGCCTTTGCTGAGCTGCTCAGAAATCCAAAGGTTTGTGTATGCTGCATTTTCCCTTTCCAGGGGGACACAGATTTATAGATTTGAGGCAATCAAGGGACCTAGAGGGAGTTTTGTGGAACAAAGAGGAGCATCACCAGCCAGGACCTTTTTGGCCAAAACAAATCCAAAGATAAATAAAATACCAAAAAGTCCTATCACTGACTGTTCCTGGTGACCTTGCCAGCCCTACAAACCCATTGCTTCCCCTGAGGATATTTGTTGGGATTTTTGCCTGGAGTTCAGCAGATGCTGGCACATGCTCTGCTCCAGGATCCAGCTTTCCTTAGGCACATTGTGCAAGCATTAAGGGGTTTGTTTCTAGGAAAATCCCTTTTCCCAGCTGGGATCCCAGGACTCACAGCTCATCCAGGCAATCCTCAGGCTTCTTCAGGCGCTGCCCATGGTAGAGGTACTCGTAGATTTCGTGGTTCTGCACGCCTGGGTACGGCGTCATCCCGCGCGTGGCAATCTCCCACATGGTGACGCCAAATGCCCACTGCCGGCACAAAGGGAAAAGGGCTGAAGGGACACTTCCAGGAGGAATGAATGGAATGAAGCTTTTCGTGGGGAAAGCTCACTGCCTGGCATCCAAGGGACAACGGGCAGAGCTGTGATGCTCCCAAAACTGGGAATGACCAGGATGGAAGTGAGGGGCCTACTCAAGGAACCGACTGAAGGTCCGGCAGCCTCCTGCACTTCCAGGGAATGACACCAACAGGAGCACGGCGTGGCTCAGGCCAGGGGACTGTCCCTCCAGGCACGGGGACCTACCACGTCGCTCTTGGTGGTGTAGACTCGGTCAGCCAGGGACTCGAGGGCGATCCACTTGACGGGCATCTTGGCGATGCGGCCCTGCCGGTAGTAATCGCCGCTGTAGATCTTCTTGGAGAGCCCGAAGTCTGCCACGCACACCGTCATGTCATCCCGCAGCCTGGGGCAAAACAGGGATCAGCACAGCCCCAGGGACGAGCACACGGACCCCAGGCTGAGCTATGGGTCTCAGAACCAAGGGAACTTTTTATGGAAAGGAGCAGAGTTGTGCTGTAAATCTGCAGGGTTCATCCCGTGGGATGGGGCAGAGGAAAACACTCACATGCAGTTTCGAGCTGCCAAGTCCCTGTGCAGGAAGTTCCGACTGCTCAGGTATTCCATGCCCAGGGCGATGTCCACCATGAACTTCACCAGGGTCTGCAGGGGCACAAACTGGGGAGGGAAGGTGGGGGTTACACAGTGCTGATCCAAAAGGCTTCCCTATCCAGGGCTGCCATCCCAATGGATAAGCCCACGGCAGCAGACAAGCCCTCACCCCTCACACCCTGCCATTCATTGACCCACGAGCCTGCAGGAGCTGCAAAGGGGGACTCCCTTCCCAGCTCGATCCCACCCCACTCCTCCTGCTCCTGGTGCTCCCTACCTGGGGGGCCATTTCCAGCCGGGAGCGGAGCAGGAAGCTGTGCAGGTCTCCGTACTTCATGAACGGCAGGATCACCATGGGCTTGGGCACCTGCAGGGAGCTCAGCTCGATGCACACCCCTGGGAAACACGGACAACTCACGCAGTGCCCTGGGAAAAGGATCCACCCAAATCCCAGCTGGAGGGTGGGAAGGGGCAGCCCATACCGAGGAGCTTGATGACGTTGGGATGGTCAAAGTCCTTCATGCACGCTGCCTCGCTGAGGAACTCTTCAATCTCCCTTTGGGAAAAGTTATCCACTGGGAAGCAGACAGAAAGAAAGAGCTTTAGAACCCCAAAATGCTGCCAGGATGCTGTTCCTGAGAGAGGTACTGGGAATGTTGGTATCCAGTGGGGCAGAGAGACAACTTACACTTCATGGTCTTCACAGCCACCTTCTGTGGGGGCCCTTCGGGCTGGCTGAGCCGTCCCTCCATCACGGATCCAAACTCCCCTGCACCACGGGAAAGAAGGAATCCCTTTATCCAAAGCACCACCTTGCAGGGCATCACCAGATCCCTAAGATCTGGAATGCTCCAAGATGGAGCCAAAAGGCTCGTTCCTCATCAGTGACAGGAGGAGGACAAGCTGGGCTCATGGAAAGTTCCCTGCCCATGGCAGGAGGTTGGAATGAGATGAGTTTTACCC